TGATTTTATTGTTGTGGGTTTAGTTACACTTTAAGTAGTCAGTTTTTCTATTCGGAACAGACTTTAGTTTCAGTGAGCAAAAAGATGTGCTTGATTACACAGTCGAGCTATAAGAAAAGCTAGATTCAACCTGTAAAATGTTATATGACAATGAACATAGACTGAAAAAGTAGGCATGGCTACTGGTATTAGCCTGATGTAGTGACATTGCTTAATGGAGTACACTGGGCTGAGCTTGACAGAGAAAAATCAATATGTTGTGCATCACCCTGCTGAGTGAACCAACTTTTTAGTTGATATCAGAACAGAGAAGTTTAAATTGGTTAAGCTAAGGAGGGAGGAACGTGCAAGTACAAATATACAGAGTGGCATAAAAAATCTCTGAAAAAAGTGAAGGGAGATACTACATTATTCAAGTCATAATATTAATTAAATCACTCGCACTACGACAATATACTGTATATAAAATTATTGGACATACAAAAAATACAAAAGTAGCCTGTATCTCTGTGATTGCTGCAGCAATTGTCATGTGTTCCCACACCTACAAACCTCAAATTAAAATAAACTCTGTACAATCAAACAAAATGTGTGTGTGTAGTCTCTCATTCAAGCATATTCTCAATTACGTGAAAAACACAAAACATAACGTAAAATACATTCTCAATTAAGTAAAATAAACATATACACAATATCACATTATCTATTTTAAGCAATTACAGTGTAACATCCAAAGTATGCATCCAATCTTGTGAAATAAAAACTACAATCCACTTTTCCTTCTATTATCAAAATTAGATCCAAATCAGTGTGCACAGTGATTATTATGCAGATCACCAAACAGTGCTTCCTCCACCTTCCAACCAAGCCGCTTACCTCAGATTTAACCCACTAAAAAGTTAGGTCAAATTGCACCTTGCCCTTTAAAAGGGATTCATATGGCTTTTAACTGTAGACCTCTCCACTTACAAACATCTTTTCTGCATGGTTGTCTCAAAAGAATAAATAAAAAAGCCTTACTGAGTAGTATATCATCTCACCAGACTTATTTTATTAAAACAAAGGGGTAACATTCACTCACAAAAAAAACGGCACCTCATCTAGTGCACATAGAATCAGTTGCCTCTTTAAATGAACATTTCCCTCTTAAGATAAAGCCTTGGCTTTAGATACCTATCCAAAATGGCCGACTTCCAGTTCCCCTTAGCGTGATGACGTCATCCGGCCACGCCCTTGATGTGTTTCGTCATCCAATGATAACTGCTTCAGAAGAGTGGACTTCATACTGTAATTGCTTAAATGAGATAATATGATATTGTGTGTAGAATATGTTTTCTGTTATGTTTTGTGTTTTTCACTTACTTGAGAATATGCTGGAATGAGAGACTACACACACAGATTTTGTTTGATTGCACAGAGTTTATTATATGCAAGTGTAAATAACTGTAACCAGTGTACTTTACTAAGAGGTAACAGGCCCCATCCAGGTGCTCTTAATACAAACATTATATGCAGTAGAATATAATAGTATAGTAGCCTGGACATCCTCAGTTCACAGGAAGTGGGCTGAATGATGGTAGGCATTATCAAACCTGATAAACAAGCATCCCTGGATTGGTGACTTGGTGGGTCTCCAGGGGACAGCACTAGAGATCAGGTAAGTATAGCAGCCATAGCTGCTGTCCTATTTTAAGACTGCACTGAAGGCTAGTTTTATGCAATTTTTGCCTAAGCTGGACACGTGCATTAAGTCCATTATTAACACTTAACACCAGGCAAACAGTTAAAAAAATGTGGATGGCGCCACTAGATAGAAGAAACCACAAAAGAACAAAAATTAAAAAGAATATAACCAAAAAGGGGAAGAGCAGCTATCTAATCCTTGAAACCAAGGTACTAGTGAGATAATTAATCAATTAGAACAGCGCTCCTAACTAATAATATACCTATTAGTGCAACCAAAAAAATTAAGATCAATATTAGTGCAAACAAAGGAAAACCAGCAAACAAATAAGTACATTGGTGCAACTAGAAAAATTCTTAAATCATGTATAAGAAATAAATCAGTGTCCAAAAAATGGCCATTATTTATTTATTTATTTATTGAGTTTATATAGCGCCAAAGGGTTTGCTCAGCGCTGTACAATAGAGGGGGGACAATACATGAAACAGAACAGTAACATCAAACAGCACACGAGGGGTTAGAGGGCCCTACTCTTTCGAGCGTACAATCTAGGAGGGAGGGGGTAGAGCACAGGAGGAAACGGCTGTGGGGGATGGAGTGGTAGGAGGAGGGAAGGGCAGCGGCTGTTAGGTGAGGTGAAGTGTCATATATATATATATATATACACACACATACACACTGTATATGTATATATATATATATATATATATGTATATATATATATATATACACATACATACACTTTTCACTATATATATATTTTATGGACTTTTTTGGACACTGATTTATTTATGAATATTGATTTATTTACATAATCATTTAGTCACTTTTTTATGCATGATTTAGGAATTTTTCTAGTTGTACCAATGTACTTATTTATTTATTGATTTTCCTTTGATTGCACTAATATTGGTGTTCTCTTTTTTGGTTGCACTAAAAAGTATATTATTAGTGAGGAGCGCTGTTCTAATTGATTAATTATCCCAAACAGTTAAATGAACAGTTAAATTATATTATGAATCAACTGTCTTACAAAAATTTTACTTATATTTAGCTAGCCTTGTAATCCTGGCACCCTTACCAGAAGACACAGCCAGGTCATTTTTTCAAGTGAGCATTACTGCTTGGTCAAAGCCCAGCTCCAGTCTGTGACTGGTAAATGGAGGAATATTATCACAATGATGAGTGCCAGCACTTTGCTCATTCAACTCTTCCCTTATATCTAGCTGCTAACTGTACATATACATAAATCATACTATGTATTTTTAAAGAACACATGGTTATTTTAAATGGCAGTTTTTTACATCTGCAGGCATTCAGGTTTGATGAAAACCCTAAACACGGATGAGCCATGGTCCGTTTTGACACAAATCATGTTTTTACATGGCTCACACTTTCAGAAACAACAGACAAGCCATAAAACAACATGAATCATCTATAATTTATGCAGCTGTCTTTTGTCAGCTGATCACCTATGCAGATGGTGTCATCTCCACTTGTGTCATATATGGAGTATCAAACAATCCCTCTCCACGGGATACTACATTAAAGACTAAAAGCAGAATAATGTAAGTTTCTACATACTGTCTACGCATCTAAATTACTAGGAACTCTGGAACTGCAAGACTAAAACTAAAATTCCTAATTAAATCAAACGTTTACATATTGCTATATTAGTACAGAACCATTTTACAATCAAAGCCTAACTTGGAAATTTAACTTTACATTTTATGGTCAACAAATGCATTTAAAGATTGTTGACTGTGCTGGAAATAGTAGTCAGTCTGATTATTTAATTCCATTTAATAGAATACCTGTAGCTAAACCTCTGTCACTAAAAAGTGATATGTGCCATATTGTTCCTCGGATAATGGGCTGTGTTGCCTTGTAAAAAGGTGATTATTTTTTATGAACTATAGATCTTTACTATAACTAGGTGCTTGAAAGATACTGTCTACTTTGTAATGATTGACTACTAAAGGCTAGAATTTATGATTTTATTTCCTGAGGGTAATGCACCAGGCATACAATGTTTTTACCTCTCAGGTTAAGAATGATTTTAGATAACTCTTGCACAAGGTTTTTCAGCCAGTACTTCAATTTACACTATGCCCGTAAGACAGTACCTGCAACATAACAAAAGATTTCAACATAATGGAGTATTTATTGTCTGCCTTCAGAGAAAATCTTAAATTGTCATAAACAGCTCTTGTCACTTGAAATAGCACTAGTTTAACATTATTTTTATATTTGGAAGTCTTTCAGCTGCAAACAACATCATTTATTTTCTTTTATCCTTTTCTTTTTGTTCGTTCTCTCTTTTTTCTTTATTTTATCATTTATCTTTCTTTCTCATTTTCCTTGTGTTGCCTTTGTGGAATACCTTTAGAATACACTTTGGATTTTCATTTAATAAATAAGCTGCAGTACTTTTTCAGTCAAAGCTCCGCTGCAAATGAAGGCAAATTGGTACTGAATGCTTTACAGCAAGAACACTGTCACTGATGATATATGATGGTAAAGTTTAAATACATATTAAAAAATATATATAGTGGGACATCTGTGAACACAGAATAAAGATAGAATAAAACATTACCTTTAACATGTCATTTAAAATGTGTCATTGCCTTCATGTGAGGTGCTTAACTTGACGGCTCCAGCTACCCCAGCTTGGTGAGTCCTTTACGAAGACTGTTTACCATGACATGAATAAACCATGACATGGTTTGTTAATGTGCCCAGAGTAGCTTACAGACACACCTGGAAGCCTGTATAGGAATTCACTGAGAGTCTGACAGGTACAGCGGCTGTATGGATCTTTACACATATTCAAGTGTGTGCTTCAGTGCAGGGACAAATCTGTCTGCATTCAGAGCTATAGAACAGCTAACCATCTCCTTCACTACATAGGGAGAATATGCTCTGTAGTCCACATGGAGAGTTAGGAACAGGGGCGGACTGACCATTTGGAAACTTGGGCACTGCCCGAGGGCCCGGGGTCAGTAGGGGGCCCCATGAGATGCCCCTGGTACCTTTGTCATAGGCTTTTTTGAGTTTGGGCAAGGACACAGGGGCCCCACAATCCCCTATTGCCCGGGGGCCCCATGAGTTGTCAGTCCGCCCCTGGTTAGGAACAATGTATCCAATATCAGTCAGTAGATATAGAGAGCATAGAAAGTTTTAAGCTTACCACATTTCTGGCAGGATCAGAGCTACAGCCAGTAGCCCATTTCTATACTTTACTGGCTGTAGTTCACCTTTGACAATGAAGTCTACCATGATAATGTCTGGGTATGCTCTGCCTGTATCAACTTACTTTGAGTTCCCCAATGGAAGATAGCAGTCCTGCACCATATACACGTAACTGTCCATCTTGTTTGCAAAGACCAAACTCAATAGTAAAAAAGTAGCACTAGAAAGCAAACAAAATAACATTGCATTAGAAAATTAGGCAATTATGAGATAAGCAGTATTATAACAGTTTTCAGTTAGAAATGCATGATATTTTTGTTAATAAACTCGTGATTAGAGAGAGCATGGATTAGTTGGGCATAGAGCGTAGCTTTACACTACAACCCCCTTTGGCTAGTCTTTGAAAATGTCCCAGTTTTGCTTTTGTAGTGAGCATCCAATGGCACAAATAGTCAGCAGGCATCTCGCTGTTTATTACTGATAATGTGCCTATCATTCTGCAAACCTGGGTTTCTACCATTTCCAAGCATAACATTCTCACTCTGATCACTCTAATCACTGACATTATTGTTGCCATGGCACAATTGAAAAATGGGTTAAAAATGTCATGTTATGTTCCTGCTCATCCCACTGCTGTCACAGGATACAGTAATGTTGAAAGATCCTCTGAACCCGTCCACATTTTCATGCATGGCTTACCACCCACACTTGTCCAAAGCTGTGACTTTGAGATTCTTTCTCATTCTACTCCATGAGATATATAGATGCATGCTGTCTTCAGTATTTATACATAAAAAAGATGAGTTTATTAATTTCGTACTTGACCATAGTTACAGACCTAATGATCTTTTCATACAGAACCAGGACACAAGAGGCCTCCTTGATGAGCTGCCACTAACTGGGAAGGATGAAGAACCCCATCCTGGTTTGCTAATGGACCCCATTATGTTCTCATTAACCAGTCTACTTTGCTAGTGAGCCACTGTAAAAGACACATGCTTGAGGAGCCTTTTTTTGCTGGATCTCACATTTTCCTATTTTTGGTACAAGTGTGACTTATCAAAAGATATCCATTGACAGAATAGACTATATTGGAAAAAAGTGCTTACTATGCCTTCTCCTGCAGCCTAATGCATGGACCCTGATGCCCCAATGGTGATCACCGGCCAGTGGGGAAGAGGCGGAGCGGTGAGTAAGTGCGCTTGGTGCACTGTGTGGGAAGATAGGACACGAAACGGGAGTTACTTTAGAGAAGGGCGGAGTGCTGACAGCTGTGTTTTGCAAAGCTAGCTAACCATATGAGGGCAGTGGAGGGGCAGGGGGGGATGTGCAAAGGTGAGCTGCAGTCTAGGTGTTGCAGAGGTAAACTGAGTCAGGTGAGTTGCAGACAGGGTGCATAGGTGAGCTGCTGCTGAGGCGCTGAAGAGCTGAGCTGATTTGCAACCCACTTTTGTACCCCCCAGCCACAGCTCAGCTCTGCACCCCCTGGCCACAGCTCACCTCTGCATCCCACGTCTGCAACTCACCCCTGCACCCTGTCTGTGGCTCAACACTGCACCCTGTCTGAAACTCACCTGTCAAGTCAACCCTGCAACACCTGACTGCAGCTCACAACTGTCATTAGCCGACCCTCTTCATAATAACCCTCATCCACAACTGCCTGCAGCTCACCTCTGCACCCCCTGTCCCCACCTGGACATTTAAAAAATAAGACCTACCCCGAAATTAAGACCTAGTGTGTGATTTTTGAGCCAAAAAAAATAAGTCAGTGTATTATTTTTGGGGAAACACAGGTATCGCTCGTTCTGGCCGGAAGGGCATGGCTACAAGGTCACATGCACACTGCATCACTTCCACTGGTATGGAAGGTGTCAACACTATGTATTGCCAAACGAACGATTTTTTTAGATTGGTTAATGTGGGCCATTATTTCGACCAACGAACGCCTCTTGATCGGTAGATTTTCTAATTGTGTATTCCCACCTTAAGTCATGTAGTCATACTTGAAAATATTCTGAGAATACTATTTTAGATGGAAGAATGTAAAAGAGTGGCCACTGCTGTTATTTATCACTGATGTCAGTCTGGCTACAGTTGAAGCTACAGTTCGTGCCACCCTGAATTTTTGCATGGTGGAGCCATTGGCATTATCTCTGCCACATCCACTACCACCGCACCTATTTTCCAATGGCATAAGCTGCAGCACCCATTGTTTAAATTATACCCTTCAATTTACTGCAAAAAAAATATTTAAAAAATGGAAAACCGTACAGTGTAAAAAGCATGGGGTATTTATCTGGTCTCTTTACAAGACTTGACAGATAAAGCAATTACAAGTGTAAAATGGCAAGAATAGTTTCTTATAAAACACCACCACATATGTAAGTTCAACAGGCCTACCAGCCTAGCATGCACAGCAAGTAATAATTAAACAATACACAATATTATTTTTTATTTTTTAGAAAATGTACTGTAGGCTGCACTGCAAATAGCAATTATCAAATTCACCGTTTTTTCAGGTTATTACAGGAGTAATCTTAGGGATGTGCCATATTTTCAGCCCGAGAGCATGCAATGCATAGATGGCTTTAAAAGCAAAATAATGACAGTTAGATAACCTCCTTCAAGGCTCAGCACACTCCATACATTTCTTAATGGCCGTTGAATCAAATTACTTATATAGCAGAGACTAAACCACCAGGAACTTGGCCATCTAAGATTTTAGTTGGCTGACAAGAGAATGACTGTCCATGTATTCCTGTTTTCTACCCAGATACTCCAAAATGGAAGACAGCAAACTTTGACCACAGCTTAGTTTTTGCTAACCCACATTAGTTTGTCACATCTTCTACCCCTAACCCCAATAGCCAGAAATTACCTCTAGGCAGGAAGCGGACTGATCATTTGGGAACTTGGGCACTGCCCGAGGGCCCAGGGGTCAGTAGGGGGGCCCATGAGATGCCCCTGGAACCTTTCATATGCTTTTTTGGGTGAGGTTTGAGTGTGGGCGAGGACAAAGCCCTATTGCCCGGGGGCCCCATGAGTTGTCAGTCCATCCCTGCCCCTAGATATAGCATAGCAAATGCAAGAGACAAAAACTCATCACCAGAAGAAATAAAGCCTAACATATTCATGGCAAAGAGACAGTGTCTGTGATAAGAGGACTTCTGACCTACTGCTACTATTCCCTGATCCCTCCTTCCTTCCTGGTACTAAAATCCCCAGTTCCAGCTGGTGTTGAATACTAGAAGGATCCTTGAAGTTACACCTTCAGTCATATGACAGTGCTTGGGCCTAGCAATTGGCTTTTATATTTAAGCCCTGTCACATGGGAGGATAGCTATGCTCCTCCATACTAAAGAGTGGCAGAAAAGTGTTACCAATGTATCATTTGGTCAAGCGGGAGGGGGACATTTTCACAGAAACTGACACTTTGCCCTGAAAGGTGTCTGTTTAACCAGTTGCCGACCAGCCACAGTACATATACTGCGGCAGGGCGGTACCACTGCACAAAATCACATATATAAACGTGATTTCCATATCGGGTAGGGGGGCACGCGCGAGGCACGTGACCACCCTACCCGCGCCGCTGATCGTGGTCGCGGATGTCAATCACCGGGTCCTGGCTGGTCATTACCCACCGGGTCCCGGCGATTGCTTGCAATCACTGACACAGAGCACAGCTGCATTGTTTTCAATGCAGCTCTGCTCCCTGTCAGTTCCCAACACACTGTTCCTGAGATCGGAGTTTAGCTCTCAGGATCAGTGTGTTTCTGTGAAGTACACACCCCCCGCCCCCTAGTAAAACACTCCCCTCACACAGTTAACCCTTTGATTGCCTAAAAAATGTAACCCCTTCCTCCCCAGTGCCATTAGTACAGTGTCAGTGTTTTTGTTTTTTTTGCACTGATCACTGTATTGGTGTCACTGGGGATGTCAGTGACCCCAAGTTAGTTCCCCCCCAGTGTCAGAATGTCCGCCACAGTCCTGCAGTCCCACCATAAGTCGTTGATCGCCTCCATAAATCATTGATCGCCACTATAAGTCACTGATTGCCGCCATTATTAATATAAAAAAAAAATTCCAGTATATATACCGCCATTTGTAAACGCTATAATTTTCATGTAAACCAATTCATTTACACGTATTGGTATTTTTTTTAGCAAAGACATGTCACAGAATACATTTTGGCTGAAGTTTATGACAAAATTTGATTTTTAAATTTTTTTGCTGGACATGTTTTATAGCAAAAAGTCCAAAATATTTTTTTTCTCAAAATTGTTAGGTTTTTTTATAGAGTGAAAAATAAAAAAAACGCACAGGTGATCAAATACCACTGGAAGAAAGCTCAATTTGTGGGTGAAAAAAGATGTAAATTTAATTTTGGTGCAGCGTTGCATGACTGCGCAATTGTCATTTAAATGTAACAGCACCATAACACAAACCGCTTATGTAACCGCTTTCTGACCGCCCTATAGCAGAAATACTGCTACAGGGTGGCACAGGTGCGCAAAATCACATATATACGTCTCTCCCAGATGGCGTCAGATTGCCCCGTCAGCACTCAAGTCATCACATTTAACCCCTTGATTGCCAGGAAGACGCTCATACACAATAAACCTCCATTGCTAGTATAGTGTCTGAACAGATCAATATCTTTGATCAGATCAGCACTATACCAGCGTTCACATTAGTATAGTGTCCCCAAAAACGCAGCGTTAGCGGGATCAGCCCCAGCACCTGTGTTTAGCCCCTACGCTTAACCCCCCCTTCTCCCCCAGCAAGTGCAGTGTCAGTAGGTCACTGTCACTTGATACATTGCACACAAAACCGCAATGTTGGCAGAATCAGGCCTGATCTCTGTTAGCACTTGTCGGTAAATTTTGATGACTCTCATATGCAGCAGAGTGAAAGTACTAGTGCCAAGCTACCTTTTCGTTAACTGGCGAGCACCAGCAGTCTAGTACATCCACAGTCTTTCACATACCTCTTAGATTGTAAGCTTCCAGGATCAGGCCCTCCTAACCCTCTTGTATTGAACTGTATTGTTGCTGTAATGTCTCCCATTATATTGTAAAGCGCTGAGTAAACTGTTGACATTATATAAATCCTATATAATAATAATAATACCAGCACTGCAGTATGACTTGGCTACGTGGCGAGTCCCATAAGTGTAGTACAAGTTGGTGCGGTGGCGAGCACAACTATTGTTCGGATTTACAAGGGAAAAGATAGTCATGTGGAGCCCCCCA